TTCCCGATGACCACACCCTTTCCCAATGGCCACACCCTTTCCTGGTGGCCCCGACCTTTCCCGATGGTCCCACCCTTTCTTGAGGACCACACCCTTTCCCAATGGCGCCACCCTTTCCCGATGACCACACCCTTTCCCAATGGCCCCGCCCTTCCCCAATAGCCCCGCCCTTTCCCCCCCCTTTCCCCCAGCCCCCCCCCGGCCCCCGCCCATGTCCCGGTGGCCGCAGGCTCGGTACTGGGGCGCGGGGGCCAACGAGGTGCAGGGGGCCGTGCTGAGCCGCAGCGGGACCCCCGTGGAGCGCCTGGCGGGCAAGTGGCACGAGGGGCTGCACCGCGGGCCCGCCCCGGGCCAGTGCGTCTGGAAAGCCAGTAAGGACCACCCCGGAGGGGGGGGATATCCCGGGGTTACCCCGTGCTGGGGGGGGGTCTCTCTCAGCGCCGTCCCACCCTCCCGCTCAGACCCCATGCCCCGGGACCACGAGAGGAACTACGGCTTCACCCAGTTCGCCCTGGAGCTGAACGAGCTCACGCCGGAGCTGCGCCGGGTCCTGCCCTCCACGGACACGCGGCTGCGCCCCGACCAGCGGTGAGCCTGGTGCTCCCCCCCGGCGCCGGGCAGGGGATGCTCCGAGCCCCACCCGGCTCGTCACAGCCGCGTCCTGTCCCCGTCCCCACCCCGCAGGTACCTGGAGGAGGGGAACGTGCCGGCGGCCGAGGCGCAGAAGCGGCAGATCGAGCAGCTGCAGCGGGACCGGCGCCGCGTCATGGAGGAGAACAACATCACCCACCAGGCGCGCTTCTTCAGGTCTGGCTTTAGGGGTGCTCCCGGGGGCTGGGAAGCCCGTGGGTGAGCGGGATGTGGGGCTCTCAGGGAATGGGGAGACCCCCCTGGGAGTGCTGAGGGCGCCCTGTGGCTCAGAGGGGTGAGGGGTTCTTATAGGATGAGGAGGCTCCTTTCAGGATCCTGAGGATGCTCCATGGGTCAGTGGGATGTGGGGCTCATAGGGAACCTGGAGAACCTCTGGGAATGCTGAGGGCACCCCGTGGGTCAGGGTGATGTGGGGCTCTCAGGGAATGGGGAGACCCCCTGGGAGTGCTGAGGGCGCCCTGTGGCTTGGAGGGGTGCAAGGCTCTTGTGGGATGAGGAGGCTCCTTTCAGGATCCTGAGGACACCCCATGGCTGGGTGGGATGTGGGGCTCATAGGGAACTGGGAGAACATCTGGGAATGCTGAGGGCACCCCGTGGGTCAGGGGCATGTGGGGATCTCAGGGAATGGGGAGACCCCTCCCAGGAGTCCTGAGGGCACCCCAATGCTCAGGGGGATGTGGGGCTCTTATGGAATGGGGAACCCCTTCTTGGGAATGCTGAGAACACCCAATGGCTCAGGGGTGGGGGAGGCAGTTTTAAGGGAATGGGGAGGCGCCCTGGAAGTCCCGAGGGCACCCCATGGCTCAGGGGGGTGCAGGCTCTCATGGAAGGAGAAAACCCCTCCTTGGAGTCTCGAGGGCACCCCGTAGCTCAGGAAAATGTGAGGGTCTCAGGAAATGGGGAAAAACCCCCTGGAAGTCCCGAGACCACCTCAAACAGCCCCCCCTCCCCACTCCATCCCCAGGAGGCTGATGGATGCCAGTGGCAAGGAGTCGTGGGTCACCAACAACACCTACTGGAAGCTGCGCCTGGACCCCGGCTTTGCCCACCTGGACAGTGCAGTGCTCTGGTAGCGACCCCCCCACGGGGCTCTGAGCCCCCCCAGCTCATCACAGCAGTGGGGCTGGTTCCCCCGGCACTGGGGGGGGGGCAGTGTCCCCCCCCCCCCCCCCCCGAGCCATTTTGCTGGTGTTTAAACAAAACTGTGATATAAAGGGGGGGGGGGGGGCACTGGCAATGCCCCCCCACCCCCGACCCGGGGCAGAGCCTTGGGGACAGCTGGGGCACTCTGGGGCAGGGGCTGGCAGTGCCCCCCCTGCCCTGGGAGCACAAGATGCCTGGGAGTGGGGGAACAGGGGTGCCCGCAGGCGGGAAGACCCCTCTGCCCCCCCTCCCTCCCCCAAACTGTGCCCAGGGGCTGCTCTAATAAAGGCTGTGAAGAGTTGAGGTGTGCAGAGAGCTTCCTTCCCTCACCCCCCCTGCTCTGCAACACCCCCGGGGCTCAGGACCCCCCAGGAAGGGGGAGGGCACCCTTAGCACCCCCTCCCCATGCCTGTTTCCCTCCTCCCACACACACAGAGCTGAGCAGAGTCCCCACAGTGCCCCCTTTATTGCGATATGCTGCTGCCCCCCCACCCCACGCCAGGCACGGGGGGGGCTCAATAAATACTTCAGCATTACCCACCCCGACCCCCCCGCCCTTAAAAACCACCGACAACAACAAAAAAAACCCCCCATCCTCTCCATCCCCCCCTGCCCCTCCCCGCCCACCCCCGCGGCCCCACCGGGGCGGCACCGGGGGCTGATTGTCTGGCTGGGTCCCCCCCCCTCCTCCCGCTCGAGTCTGCCCAGGATATGGGTGTTAAATAGCGAGGGGGGAGGGTGGTGGGCGCACAGGACCCCTCGCGGTGCCCGGGGCGGGGGCTCAGTTGCCGTAGAAGCCGTAGTAGCCCCCGTCGGTGAGCGGGTCCTTGTCGTAGAGGTCGCCGTTGCGGGGCGGGGGGGAGCTCTCGGCGCTGGACGGGTACGGGGACACCCGCCGCCGCTTGCACTCGTACAGCCCCGAGTCCGACGAGTCCCCCGAGGCGGGGGCGGGGGGCTCGGGGGCCCAGCCCTCCACCTCCTTGCCCTTCTCCTCGCGGGGCTCCCGGTACCAGCCCAGAGCCCCGGCGCCGCCCTTGGGGCCGTACTGCCCGGGGCTCCAGCCCCCCGTCACCCCGAAGCCCCCCGGTCCCTCGGGGTAGTAGGGCAGGGGGGGGTGCGGGGCGGGCGGCAGGGCGAAGGGTTTCACCCCGTAGGGCACCAGTTTGCCCCCCCCGTAGCCCCCGTCGTAGCCGCCGTACTCCAGCGTCCCGGCGGCGGGGGGCTGCTGCGGGGGGAAGTACCAGTGGGGGGGGTCTTTGGGGGGCAGGGACAGAGGGGGAGCCCCCCGCTCCCCCCCGAAGAAGCGCGCGGGGGGCAGCGGGTACTGCTCGGGCAGGAAGGGCTGGAAGCGGGGCGCTGGCAGGAGCTGCTGGCAGCCGGGACCCTCCGGCGGGGACGGGGTGAGGCGGTCGCTCTCCGAGGCCGTGTACATCCTGGGGGGCACAGGGAGGGGTGGGAGTGTGCCCTGCTGCCAGCCGGGGCGGGGAGGGGGCACCAGCGGGAGGGTGGAGGGGACACTCAGGACACTCACGAGTCAAAGTTGTCCCGGAATCCTTTGGCGAAGGGGTTGTGGTCGATCTTCAGCTGCGTGATCTGGGGAGGGGGGGACACGGAGGTGGGGGGGCTGCTGACGGATTGACCCCTTCCAGGATGTTCCCTCCCATCCCTTTTGCCTCGAGCAGCCCCCACGGCATCAGAACCCCACCCTTTCCCAACGCGGGGGGTACTGGGAGGGGGCTACTGGGAAGCTGAGGGGATCCGGAGGGAGGTACTGGGATGCTGAGGGGATCCAGGGGGAGGTACTGGGATGCTGAGGGGATTCATGGGGAGTACCAGGGAGGAACTGGGATGTTGAAGGAGTTCGGAGAGAGGTACTGGGATACAGAGGGGATGCAGGGGATACTGGGAGGGTTTCTGGGATGCTGAAAGGCTCCAGAGGGAGGTACTGGGAAGATGAGGGGATGCAGGGGAAGGTACTGGGATGCTGAGGGGATGCAGGGGGTGCAGAGATGTTGCAGACAGGAGTGTTGGCAGACGGGGGGGCCTGGGGGGGTGCCACGGGGGGTTCTCCTGATGCTGAGGACTCCTTAGAGGGTGCTGGGGGGTTACCGGGGGCTGCTCCTGGCGGGTCACTGGGATGATACTGGGATGTGTCACTGGTTTCTGCGGCCCTGGGAGGTCGCTGGGGTTCCTGTGCTGCTGGGGGGGGTGTTTTTTGTGGGTGTCCCCAAGCCGGGGAGTGGCAGGGGGGTCTCGTACTCACGTCGGCGTTCTGGTAGGCTGTGACGGCGATGAACTGCGTCTCGGGGAAGGCGAAGGTGTGGGTGTGCGGGGAGGGGTACCCGTCCTCCCCCTCCCCTTCCTTCACCTCCGTTACGTGCAGCCGGGGCTGGTACTTGTGCAGCGACTGCAGCACGATCATCTGGGGGGCAAGGGGGGCAGCGGGCGGTCAGGGAGGGGGCACAGGGGGACCCGACCCAGCCTGGCACGGCGGCGGGGCCCTCACCTACCTGCCCGACGTTGTTGGACGCGCCCTTGTTGTTGGTGAGCTTGAGCTTCCCGAAGGAAACCTCCTGCCGCATCCAGTGCGCGCCCGTGTTGGGCGAGTCCGGGTGCAGGTAGAGGCGGTTCCCTGCGGACAGGGAGGGAGCAGGGAGGGGGTTACCCCGCTCCCGGCACCACGAGGAGGACGAGGGAGGGGACGAGGGGGATGTCGTACCTGGCATGTTGCCCTCGGCTTTCCCGCACTGCACCCACTTGCCGCCCTGGTAGCGCCAGTGGTGCTGGTCCACCAGCACCACGTCCACGCACACGCTGTAGTGGGCCACGGGGTTGAGCCCCGACAGGTTGAAGCTGAGGAAGGGGAACATGCGCCTGGGGAGGGGACAGAGGCGCAGAGACACCGTCACCCCCCGGCCCGGCCGCTGGCACACAGGGTGGCACCGGGGTGGGGGGTGATGGGGAAACTGAGGCAGCGCGATGCCCACCCCCCCCCTTTCCCACAGCCGGCTGGGTGCCCGTGAGGAGCTGAGTGACCCCGGCAGCTGGGGGATGCTCTCGGGGCCGATTCCCCCCCTCCCGGTATCTTCCTCCCCCTCCCCAAGCACCTTCCGGATCGGAAACCAACACCGCTGCTATTTCGGGCTGGGCGCCAGCCTGTGCCAAGGGCAGGAAGGGGACAGGATGGGACGGCCCGGGGGGGACCCTGCGGCCGCCTGCAGCTGCCACCCCCCCAAGAGGGGCTGCACCCCGCTGTCCTCCCCCAGCCATCCCCCCAAATCTGGGGTGGGAGATCGCACTCCCCGCTCCCTGATCAGTCCCTCACGTCCATCCCTGACCCGGGTCACCCCAACTCAGGTTCGCAGCGGGACCTCCAGCCGTGGTGGAAGGGGAGAAACCAAACCCCCCCAGGAGCAAAGCGAGGGGCTGGGGGGAAACACGGAGCTCCTTGTGCAGGGCAGGAAACGGGGCTCGGGCAGTGCCGCGGCGGCGGGGAAGCGGAATGCAAAGGGTGGTGGTGGAAAGAAAAGTCGGCGGGTGCCGCTGACTCAAAGTTGCCCTCGCGGGAGAGGGTGTGTGGGGGGGGAATAGAAAAAGAAAGAGAAGAAAAGGGGAGAAGAGAAAGAGAAAGAAGAAAAGAATAATAAGAAGAAATGAAAAAGGAATAGAAATTTAAAAAAAAAAAAAAAGAAAAGGAAACGAAAAAAAAGAAAAAGAAGATTAAGATTAAAGTTAAGATTAAGGTTAAGAAAAAGAAGCAAAATAAGAAGAAAAATGAACACAAGAAGAAGATGAAGAAAAAGAAGAAGAAAAGAAAAAAGAGAAACAGGAGAAGAAGAAGACAAAGAAGAAGAATAAAAAGATAAAGAAGAAGATAAAGAAAAATAAGAATAAAAATAAGGAGATAAAGAGATTAAGAAAAAGAGAA